AGGTTAGGTTTCCATTTCAAGAAAATTCCAATACTTAGTGTTTAAATAAGAGAAAACGTGATTTTGTTCTTTATGTTTTTTCTGGTTTACCATTTCACTTCAGTGAATATGTACACATTCCTTCAGTGCATGTCTAGTAGGCGATGGAAATAAGTAAAATGACAAGGACTCAGTATTGCCTTCAAAAAGCTCACCTGAGTCTAATGGGTATAGATAGATGCTTAAATGTTGATGGAGATACTACTATTAATTCTGCCTAAGGAGTGGAAGGCTGTACCAGACGTTAAGAATGAGTAGGTTATAGCCCTGGCTGGTTTGGCTCAGTAGTTAGAGTGTCAGCCCATGGGATGAAGGGTCCTGGGTTTGATTCCAGCCAAGGGCACGTACCTCAGTTGCAGCCTCAATCCCTGGCCCCGGCAACCAATTGATGTGTCTCTCAAATCAATGTTTCTTCCTCCCTCCCCCTCCACTCTCTCTGAAAAGCAATGGAAAAAATATCCTCAGGTGAGGATTTAAAAAAAAGAATGAGTAGATTATAAAAGTTGAGAGGTATTATTTTCAGTAAGCATATTTAGCATATAGTAACCAAATACCATTTTATTTTAAGATTGTTTGTTTGGGAAATCTTACACTCCACAATTCGTAAGATGAACAAACACGTTCTGAAGATCCAAAAAGAGCTGGAAGAAGCTAAAGAAAAACTCGCAAGGCAGCACAAACGGGTAAGTTTTGTTTCAATTCATAGAAGGTCAGAGTATTCCAGAAACTCTTGAATATTCAGAGTTCATTATTTTAATGGGAACTTATTTTTTCTGAGGCCAAGTTATGTAGAGCTGCTTGTAGAAGTGGAGGAAGAGCGTGGGGTTTGTTGCTCTCTGTTGTACTGCATGGTGAGCCTGTTTAGGAAGCCACACCCTTACTTTTCCATAGTTTACCATCTCTGAGTCAGATTCACGTTTGTCTTTCCCAAATGGGAAGAAGAGAGTGAAGGAGAACACTTGTATTTCTGTAAGTTTCTGCTGCAAGAGGGGAGGGGAGAAAGATTGTCGATGTTTTCTAGTCCACCTGTACTGTGAGGGGTGTGGCAGTCATTTCCAGGTTTATAAAATACTTCTAATTTTAATAAGTTTAGTACTTTGCCATTTTGGGGGGAAGCAGTGAGCTGGCTGTATTCTGTGATTTAGTGTAATAGTGCTGGCTTTCTTCATGATGGCATTTTCCAGTGTTACACATATTTACCAGAGTAGAAGGTGAGAGCAAGTTTAATGACTTATACAAACCTATAGCAGGTTCAGGTGCATGTATGTATGTATGTATGTGTAGGCATGTATGTATGTATGTATGTATGTATATAAACAGTCTCTCACAGACCTAAAATACTGCAAGGTAAATGGTGTAATCCCCATCTTATACATGTATAAATTGAGGCTTAGAAAAGTTAAATAACTTGCTCAAGACTACATGGCTTGTAAGTGACAGAGCCAGGATCTGATTCAGGTCTGTCAGACGCCAGAAACTCCCTCATGCCACACCGTTTGTGGATATGTGGTGTCCAATACAGTAACCAGTAGCCTCATGTAACTTGAATTAAGTACAATTTAAAACTCATTTTCTTAGTCACACTAACCACATTTCAAGTCCTCAAAAGTCACGTGAGGTCTAGTGGCTATTGTGATAGGCAGCATGGGTGTATGTAACATTTTCCTCATTGCTCAATGGTGTATTGGGCAGTGGTGCTCTAGAACTTTGCCTTAGTATAGTGTTAGGGAACGACAAACACGTAGCCAGTTGGCCTAGAATGTAACCAGGCAGGCCCCATAACAGGTGGTGTGTGAGAGATAAAAGCAGAATTCTGTAAATACAGAGTGAGGGAGGTTCTGATAATTTTGTTTGAAGAGAAGAGGCTGTCATAGATGGTGCCTTACCGGTAGAGTGTTATCTAGAAAGAAATGGGCTTTCTACATTTGGTGAGGCCTACCTTCTTGCTCAGAGAACTGTGGTATATAACACACCTGGAGTGAGGTTCTGGCTCTTCTGCCTTTAAAACCACCACCACCTTAGTGAATGCTCTAAGTTCTTCGGGATGAGCTAGAAGGGAATTGTTAAATCTTAACAGGTTTATTGAGCACACCACTGCCAGCAGAGTTTTTAAGTCTGCTGTGAGTTATTGCATGTCAGTCATAGCCATTTCTAAATTATTACAAGGATGAGCAGCCTGTGGCTCTTGAGCTACTTAAGGGCCTGCCAAGTTTTTCTGCGTGGCCCACTAGACAACAAAAGATTAGCAAGCTACCCCTCTGTTACTGCTCAAATGGTCAGGTAGTAGTTTATTAATGACTAGAGAGCACTGTTAGTTTTTTCATCAGTCATCTTTGTTGAATAAAGAATAGCAGAATTATGAGAATACACAATCTATCCTCATTATTTTCAAGTTCTAGTTTTACAAACTCGCCTACTCACTAAAATTTATAACCTCAAAATCACTATGGGTGCTTTCCTGGTCATTGGTAGACATGCAGAGCAGTGAACATTTGGAGTTGCCCAGTGAGCCTGTTTCCCAGCTGAGGTCAAACAGGCCAACTCTCTGACTTCTTGGTTCAGTTCTCCTGTTTAAAAAAAGTGTCCTTTAAAAAAAAAAAAGCCCTAGCAAGTTTGGCTTAGAGGTTAGAGCACTGTCGGCCCGTGGACTGAAGGGTCCCAGGTTCAAATCTGGCCAAGGGCAAGTACCTCGGTTGCAGGCTCAATCCCCAGCCTGGTTGGGAGGCAACAATCAATGTGACTCTCACATCGATGTGTCTCTCTCTCCTTTACACTCTCTCTAAAAAGCAATGGAAAAAATATCCTCGGGTGAGGATTTAAAAAGTGTCCTTTCCATGGTGTTATTTAGTGCCACGTTATTTGTGCTTTCTGTTTTCACATTCTGTGCTGGCTTTTTTGTTGGTTACTTCACTGTTTAAAATGGTCCCCAGGGAGGGGGAAGGAACGGGGTGGAACGGGTCATTGGGGAGAAAGGACATCTGTAATATTTTAAACAATAATAAAACTTTAAATAAATAAATAAATAAATAAATAAATAATAAAATGGTCCCCAAACATAGGACTGAAAGACTGTTCCTAAGCACAAGACTATGATGTGCCTGATGGGAAAAATACACGTTAGATAAGCTTTGTCCAGGCATGAGTTACAGTGCTGTTGGTTGTGAGTTCAGTGTTCATGAATCAACAATATACACCCAGAAAAGGGAAGAGGAAATTCACCAATCTGTGTATGAGGCTGCTCCATCAAGTACTAAAGTAACATCTGTAGTATGTGATAAAGCTATGGAAGAGTAGCTAAATTTATGGATTAAATGACCAATTTATTAAAAAGTGTACTGGACAGCCCTGGCCAGTTTTGCTTACTGGTTAGAGTGTCAGCCTACGCACCACAGGGTTGCAGGTTCCTTCCCTAACCCCAGCTGGGGCTCATGCAGGAAACAACAGGCAACCAATGTGTCTCTCTCACATTGATGTTTCCCTCCCTCCCTCCCTCCCTACCTCTAAAAATCAATGGAAAAAAATATCCTCAGGTGACGATTAACCAAAAAAAAGTGTAGTGGACATCACTGAGAGGCTGAAAGCCAAAGAAATTTAGTCATGTTACTGAGGGTCAGGAAAATGTATTTAAACACAAACACACATAAAGCAAAGTTATAATTGATCATGTGACAAGAGGCTCTCCAAGAACCTATCCCTCTATTTTCCCTAGTAGTGGTGGTTCAGTATTAACTAATTCAGGGTTCCAAGCTGCTTCAGAAAACATAGCTATGATGAGTAACAGGAATCAAGTACGTTTTCCAGGAGCTCAAAGTTGTTTTTGTTTTGACTGGAGGAAAAATATATGACACACACTTCCTCCCTAATTGGACTATTTGTAAAAGGCACAACTTACTTCTGCTTGATAGAAAACACTCCCACTGCTATTATCCAAGACAGGTGCCACTAAATGTCTCTGGCCCTAGGACTTTTAGGGTGTGTGTGTGTGTCTGTGTGTGTCTGTGTCTGTCTGGGGTGGTGGAGTGCTTTCCCTATAGAATACAATGCTTCACATGGTATTTGACCTGACAGAAGAAAGTATCTCCCCTGCCTGATGGGGTTTAATACAGTAGAATTCTAAGTCGCATCTTCCTTTCATTCCTTTGCATCCTGTAGAGAAGTGATGATGACGACAGAAGCAGTGACAGGAAAGATGGGGCTCTTGAGGAGCAAATAGAAAGACTGCAGGAAAAAGTGGAATCTGCTCAGAGTGAACAGAAAAATCTCTTCCTTGTCATATTTCAGGTACGGTGGCTTGGGACATTGATATGTGAAAAGAAATAATACATTTCTTTAGTTTAAAAAAAATGTTATTTTTCGTTATAAAAGTAATACATGCACTTATAAAAGTTAAAAATATAAAAATTTACAAAGGAAAATAAAAACTGAGCACTTAGAGGTAACCATGTATGCCTCCAAATTCTGTGTTGTTTGCTTAGCATTCTCCTATGAGCATGTCTCCATGCTTTAAAAAACTGGGAATGTTTATTAAATACCTACCTCTCTCATTTAATTATTCCCAATTTTTGATCATTTAGATGACTGTTTTCCTTCCTGATGAACATTTTTGTGCATAGATTCCTCATAACATTTCTGATTATGTCCTACATAATCTAGATATTAAAGGTCTTTACATATTGCCAGAAGATCTACTAACTCACATTATCACTGATGAACCTTTCTAGACAGTATTTGTTGAATTATGAAAGTTACATACCATAAAGACAGTAGAACAAACAGCACCTTTGAGGTCTCTTGGTCAAAAGTGGGACTGTTTCTGAAGAATTCACTCTTTAACTTTGTACTCCCTCTTCCAGCGCTTTATCATGATCTTGACTGAGCACTTAGTACGATGTGAGACTGACGGGACCAGTGTATTAACACCGTGGTATAAGAACTGTATAGAGAGGCTCCAGCAGATCTTCTTACAGGTTTGTGGGAAACTTTTAATTAAATAATAAACATCACTATTCTCAGCTGCAAAGATACTCCATTTTTAAAAATCATAAAATTTTTCAGGAGGTTATATAACACCCATAAGCCATTTAGTTCATGTCCATTTGCTCCCACTATTGCTTATCAGTTTATTTAGGCTTGAATTGGTTCTGTACCAGACTCCTAATTGTCATTCTTTGCTAGAAAGCCTAGCTGTAATACAAAATGTAGAGAACAAATGCTCAGGGAACAGTAATTTCATTAACAAAGGTCCTTAAAATCTGATGTTCAAATGATAACAGTGCCCTCAGAAGCAAGGTTACATTAAAGACTGGTAGGAAAGTGGAACTAATTCTTGTATCTTCACAAACTAACAGCCCAAGTCCTCATTTATTCTAGAAAAGTTCTTTAAGCCTCCAAATAAAAATTCTCTCTAGATTTAGTTACTGTCAATTAAAACAACCCCTAGTCCTTTAGTGGTCTCTGAATATATTCAAGTTATATGGGTGCACATGGAAGAGTTTATTCATTTCCTGATACTTTTTTTCCATGTATGCTCAACAAGTCACTGATTTCCAAAAAGATTAAAAAATGAAGTTTGGGTTTCTTATTTTGTGGAATGCGTAGATCACTGGCTTATTCTCTTAATTTTTTCTTTTGCAAAGAAATTATTTTAATGCTCTAACCCAAAAAAGAGAAAATGATTCCAAATATTTCTTCTTACACTTCAGGACCACGGTTTTAACAGTAGCAGTTGTGCTATTCCTATTTGTAACATTTACCACCTTTGTTTTAAAAAAAATCTTCCTAGGTCATTCCCTGTCTGGGCTACTTTTAAAGTCATACTTGTGTCTTGTCATCATTAAAGGAGAGAGACCCGGCTTAACCTAGTCTGTAATAGTGGTAGCAGCAGGCCCTGCCTTGAAACGTCAGTGCATTTACATAGAAGCTGGTTATTGAACATCCTTTCTTCCCCTCATTTCTGTCTACATTTTCTTAATGTTGGGGCTTTTCAGGGGCCTGTTATTCCCATCAGCATAACCACCACCACCCCCCACCCCCCATCCCATCATTTCACAACATGAGTGGGCTGCTGAGGGGAATGTTCTGCAAGATGCTTACGTGCTCTTTTACCTGACCTAAATACCCCCTTTTGTGTCCACAGCATCACCAAATAATCCAGCAGTACATGGTGACCCTGGAGAACCTGCTCTTCACTGCTGAATTAGACCCTCATATCCTGGCTGTGTTCCAGCAGTTCTGTGCCCTACAGGCCTAATGGTCATTTTTCCCCCTCATGTCAAGATTTTTTTAAAAATCTAATTTGTCTTATTTTTGATGGTTTGAATGCCTGCTTTCTTGTAGTATCCTTTCACTATCTAAAGGAAACAGGGAGGAGGACAGTGAATATGGCATTGGTTACCTATAATTACCCCTAAAAAGCAAATATTCCCTAATGACAATGTGACGATGACCATAGGATGTATTGTTATATATGTGACAGATACAACTTTTCTGATTGACATTTTTTCTCTTTAAGGCACAAAAGATAACTGATCTGAGGTATGTGAACACTAGAGGTCAAGCTTACAAAGTAGTAATATAGAACTGATGGGTTTATTACCAAGTAGCATAGCTTTTCACAGCTCCTGGATAACCTAACATGGCTAAAATAAAACTAAAAATATGTTTTTTAAACTTTGGTACTTCATGATTTATCATCTCAGTTTACTTTAAAACTAGTGATTTCCTTACTGAAGGTATACTTAACTCCATTTGAAATTTTCATTAAAAAAGTGTTATGAGGATTAAATATGGGTTATTATGCCCAGCTGACAGATAAAAACAGGCCTACTTGAGTAACTTACCCAAGGTCCACAGCTAGTACGTGCCATTTGAACCTAAATCCATGTCGCTCAAGGGCTCCTTATCTCCCAATGCAGTAATGCTGTTGTCAGCAGCCTAAACACCTAGTTACTTTGTTGTCATGAAGCTGGAAGTTTTTTTGTCCCAGGAAGATCTTGCACATTCAGAATCAGTTTTTATGAGCTGTAATATTTAGCATATAGCACATTTTTTTAAAAATCAAAAAATAGAGAATAATTAGTAATTATAGTCAAGCCTCTTTGAGTTTGACTTGTTTTAACTTTTGCCTGTCTTTAAGGATAAGCTCCAACAGCTGATTTAGAAAGAAAAATGAAAATGTATAAAATTCCTCTCTTTTCCATTTGTAGCAGTAGGATAAAAAGTTATATCAATCACTTAAATTGAAAATACCCAGTTTATCTTGATCTAAATTTCTTTTTGTCAAAAAAAATAATGCATAAACCCTGTAATCAAGCACACTGGATCAAATCCTCTTACTAGCTGTAACTACCTTGCAGTCCTTTTGAGATGATAGAGGAAATTCTGACTAGCTAAACTTGATCCAGATGTCTGGGGTGATGTCAGGTTGTAGGTTATCATTTCCTTTCCAAGTGCTAAATAAGCACAGAAGCAAGCTGTCTTCCCTCCCAGGATTAAATTAGAAACTACTTAGCATAGTGCTTTCCTGGCACATGATAAGTAATCAGTAAATGTTAGCAAGTTACGATAAACTTATCATAGTTACCTTCTTTGCTGTTTTTTCCATTTTAATCCAGATTTGAAAAGGGCTATCTAGTGACTACTACTAGGGCCTATAGTAAACCCTACAGACACAGAAAACATGATCGGACTCCCACAACTCACTCTTTATTCTTTTTGTTAATCAGGACTTGTCCCAGCAGTAGCTCCCTGCTCCCTGACTTGGAGACAGAAATAGTCCAGAAGTCCTAACCCAGCCTCTGGAGTGCAGGGGCTACCACCATCCCTGTTGTTTCTTAAGATAAGAATCTAGTGCAGCCAGCTTTTGCCTTTACTAAAAAAGCTCGTCCTCCTACTCCAATCTAAGGTTTGCCTTGGTTTCTTATTTCTCAACTTCACCTCTCACCTAACACTTTTAAACCTACCATATCACTCAGCTCCCATCCTTGTTCCAGTAAAAATGATCACAGACCCAATATTTAGCCCACAGCCAGACCTGCTGAACCTTAAGTGAAACTTGCTCTTAAGACATAACATACATACTTATTACTGAAGCATTATTTATACAACTGTTTCATCTATAAAGACTTTCTTTTTGGTGAATTTTGAACAAGATCAACCTAAATTTCCTTTATCTAAACCTAAAACTCTGTAAAACAGATCATTTAACTAAAAATCACATTTTCTCATACGTTAATTCCTGGCCACACACAGTACAAATCTTCCGGTACATGTCGTCATCTAGGTTTTCTTCTGGTCCATACTCATGTTGGTGGGCAACCATTTCCCTTTTCCATATACTGCTTCTTACTGCTCGCCGTAATTCTAAGGGGGGGAGAAAAAAAAGCCAGTTTTTCAGTAGTGCTGTTAAGCTGAAATCCATCAAGTGTGTGTTTAAACCAAATATGGTTTACCTTAACTTTAACAAATCAAAATTGATTATACAAACTCACCTCACCAGGTTGGCCTAACAAATCATTCATGCCATTATTGGAGTAGTATGAAATGGGAGAGTCAGAAATGGGGGGTGTGGCTTAGAGATAGAAAAAAAAATTAAGATGAGTAAAAGAACAGGATTTGTTCGAGCAACAGACTATGGAAGATAGGATGCCAGAGCAGGAAAAGGGGGTCAGCTGGGATGACCTGAGGACAAGGAGCATTTTTAAATTCCACAAAGTCAGGAACTTCTTTTCTATAAAAAGCAAGTCAAGCTTCGCTTGCAAGAAAATGAGAAAGTCAAGAACCCAGCCACTATGCTCACGTATCATCTTAGAAAAACTCTTGCAATTAATAGTCTATTAAATTCTTTCTCCTATAAAATGAGCAGTATTTAGAAGATTGCTAATAATTATTGCAAAGTATAATCTAAATATAAGAATCACAGACTATTAAAAGCTACAAAGAACCATAGAGTTTTTATTTTACTTCATTTTATTTTTCAGGTAGTGAAACTGAGCAAAGATAGCATGTAAACCCAGGTCATTTGTTCAGTGTTTAGAAGTCTTTCCACTTGGAAATTAACAAGCTAATAACGTCTCAGTTTCTAGTTCAATAAATAAAAAGCAACAGTAACTGTTTGTAATTTTTCTGTGCTGACCAGTGATCAATCCCAGCACTGTCTTTGACAGCAGCACAACCTAAGGGACAGTATGACAAAGATCAACATCCACCAAGTAATCACACATTTTGCTTACTCCACTTGACTACCTGAATCTTTGTATTTTCAGCCTTTATTACATCATGAAGACAAGCAAATATATATACAGTGCTATGTATCAGGCACTGCTCTAAGCACTTTATAAAATACATTTAACCCTCACAATCCTTTGAAATAAGTACACCTATCAATTTTACAAATGAGAAAACTAAGGCACAGAAAAGTTACATAACTTGTGCTGTGGTTCAGACAGCTAAGCTGATGGCACAGGCAGTCTGGCTCAGGTCTATGTTCCTAACCAAGCTGTGCTGCCTTTTCATTCCTCCAGTAGGAAAAGCACTTTATCTGAGATGATTCAAGCTTCAACATGCACATCTCAAGACAGTTTATAGACTAAGGAAAACCATGTTCATCCAAACCTATATCATTTCATATTCTGAAGAATGCTAATTTTTCCAGACATGAAATGCCCCTATCCTTTTATTATTTTATTTTACCTTAGGACAGTTTATAAATAAATAAATGAAATGATGAACTAACCAGAGCTATAAAGGTGCCTCATGGTTTCAGATGACAGGAAGATGTCTCCTGTTTGAGTTAATACCTACTTTTCAACTTTGTTCTGATGTATCTCCCGGCCACTTTTCCTTTCCTGCCCCACTGAGAAAATCTCAAAATCTGACTGCATTCCAATCACTGCTAAGCTAACCTCTGCCTAATTTGAGCATTATGTGAACGTAGGAAGAGAGAGAACATTATTAATACTAAAAGAATACTTAACAAAAATGTAGCTTACTAGCCATAATTTGTCATACCTTTAGTATTTACTAGACATTTCTGAGGAAAAGTGCTAAAAAATAAGCAAGTACTAAAAATCTGGTGTTTGTCATTTTCTTGCCCTTCTTTTCCTTCACGAAAACATTCCTAAAACCATTGCTAAGTGGAACAAGTAAAGCAGGCATCCGTGGTAGGGTGGGGAAGCCCAAGAAAGGTGTAAGGAGTGTCTTCCTACAGAGAAGGCAGCAACAGTGATGGGAGATTAGTTACATACAGGGGTATCTAATCTACTAGCATAGTAAGGATAATGGGAGTCAGGTTTCTCACTGTCAGAGTAAAATAAGGGAGAAAAATAGAATGAACCCTAAATTTTTGGATTGAATGGGGTTTATCAGCGTGAACTCAAGGTTTTAACTTTTATGCATGTGTGTATATGGGCAAACATAAAACTACATGTGTTTTGTTTAGAAAACAGGAAAGAGTACTCAACAAGTGATGAAGACACATCAAGGATTCAGGAGCTAGTCTGAAGACACGCCTCCCTGGCCAGGCGGCTCAGCTGGTTAGAGTGCCATCCCCTACACCAAAAAGCTGCCAGCTTGAACTTCCAGTCAGGGCGCATACCTAGGTTGCGGATTCAATCCCTGGTCAGGGAGTGTATGGGAGGCAAGTGACTGATGTCTTTCTCTGCCCCCCTCCCCCAAAAAATCAATAAAAACATATCCTTGGGTGAGGATTAAAAAAAAAGATTACTCCTGCTGGCCCAAATCCGAGCACCAAAATAATTGACAGAAATGAGCCGATTACATTGTAAAGAACAGGAATTCATGACCCCATACCAATAATAAACAAATGGGGGAAAGGATGCTGTAGAATGCTGGCTTCTAATTAGTTAAATGCAGAGTGCTGAAGTTAGAAAATGTTTGCTACAATCATACTCAAGACTGGTTCAGGAAAGAACCTTCATCCATGGATGGATGCTAAATTCTAGAGAGCAGTGTTAAGGATATTTGCAAGGTCTTACAATTTTATTTATTTATGCTTATCAAATCAAAAATAAATATTAACATCACCATTGAGGACAGGTGGACATCACATGCCTCCAGATGTGATGCCCTGAGAAAGATAGATCATTTATGTGCTATCCCTGAAATGCACAGCCTGAATCTAACCATCAAGGACAAGTCAGAAAAGCCCCAAATGAAAAAGATTTCTAAAAAGTGTTCTTCAAAAATGTCACTGTCATAAAAGAAAAAGGCTGTGGAAATGGTGTAGAATAAAAAACTTTAGAAAGACGTGGTTCCTGAGGCCAATACCTGATCCTAGACTGGATCCTGTACTAGAATGAAAAGTCATACAGTACATTATTGGATCAGCTAACAAAACTAGAATATGGATAACAGATTAGATAAAAATATCAGCATTATACTTTGATTCCGTAAGAGAACAGTCCTATTAGGAAATACTGTAGTAAGCTAGGAGTAAAGGGTGATGATGGATACAACCAGTTCAAAGAGTACAGAAAAAACTGTACAGAAAAAGAATGCAAATGATGAAGCAAATGGCATAAAGCGTTAACAGAAGGTAAGCTGGGTAGAGGATATATGGGCATCCTTTGTACTATTGCAATTTTATGTAAGTTTGAAATTATTTACAAATAAAAACAAAAAAGACAAGAGCTAACTTGAAGGGGCTTCCACTGGCCAAATTTGGGACAATAAGCATCAAAATAAATGATAGACTATAACACTGATCTGATAATAAAAATTCATGAATCCAAATGGTACTAAAAATGCTTTCCTTTCCAAAGGAAGCCAAATGGTAATTATAAGAAGGATAACAAATAGAAAATCGCCATTTACATCCACCCTAATAACTGACTAATGCAAGAACCATCCCTGTGTACTAAAACCACTGGGTAAAACTTATGGAACAAGATGTTCATATAGTGTCAAAAAGTCACCCCACAGGGAAGTGTCTGAAGAAATCTGGCAGACACTGCCTTAAGCAATCAAATTGAGTAGCCCTCTCTCAGAGGAGAACTGGTACATGTGTCCTGATATGTGGCGCACTCAACCACACATCACCTAGGAAGCATTCCTACCAAAACTGTTCCACCCTAATCTAAGAGGAAACAAGCTGGGAATAAACCCAAATGGAAGGACATTCTGCAAAACAGGTGGCCTGGACTCTCAAGAGAGGGAGCCTACCCGTTTATGTTTGTTCTGTCTACTTCACCAGGAGACCGTGGTGCTGTAACTATGGGTGTTTTCATTTTGGAGGGGAGCAGTGGGACCAAAAAAGCAATTTTCATTTGTACTGTGAAATGTAAAAACTGTCAATTCTTAGTTTTAAAAAATGTCAGTATCATGAAAGATAAAAAGGCTCAGGAACTAAGACTATTAGATATGCATCATCCTTAAATGGCCCCTGGATCCGACAACTAAAAAGTTGATAAAGACATTGGAACAACTGGGAAAGAGATATATATACTAGATAATAGCATTATATTAATGTTAAACTTACTGGGTGTGATCATTTTTAGTTATGCAGAAGAATGTCACTTTTTAGGAGGTAACATGTTGACATAATGACATAATCACAGTGTCGCCCTCGCCGGTTTGGCTCAGTGGTTAGAGGCTCAGCCCTTGGATTCAATTCTGGCCAAGGTCACATACACTTGGTTGCAGGCCCAATCCCCGAACCGGGTCAGGGAGCATGTAGGAGGCAATCAACCGATGTGTCTCACATCGATCCTTCTCCCTCCCTCCCTCCCTGAAAAGCAATGGAAAAATTATCTTTGGGTGAGGATTAAAAAAAAGCATCCCAGTGTCTACAAGTGATTCTTAAATGGTTCAGCACAATACATGTGTGAAGGGGAGAAAAGCATGTATCAGCAGACTCAACATAATTAAAAATTTGTTTAAGATTAATATATTTTTCACATTACTTCACTTTAAGCAAAACTTTGGGAAGTAGAGATCAACTACCTACTGCTGAGAATGAGGAGAGGAAGGCAGAAAGGTCAGACTTTAGAAGAGGGGAGAGAGTTGGTAGGACTTGGGGACTGAGAAAACCTTGGAGGAAGGACGGGAGGAGACAGCCTAGCAGCACTGAAAGCCTAACTGAAGTTGGAGAAAACAGTGGTTTCCCAAGTTACAACCTCCTGGTCCCAATGGCTTAGAACTCCACCCCAAGAAAGCTGTGGGCTGCCTCACCTGGAAATCGACTCAAGTGCATAAAATGTTGTCTTGCTGCTGATATCTTCAGGGACTGCTTATCCTTTTTACCAACAAAAGCTTTCCCGTAAATCCTTGTTTCAATAAAAAATTTATTTTCTACCACTCTAAAACTTGCATTTGATTTGACTTAATATGTTAATTTTGCAAAAGAGGCTGCCTGTGTTCAAAGAAGTTGAATGCTGCTTATGAGGTATACTTAATGAGAAATAAGAAATAAAGACTTCTGAGGGAGACCAGATGCTTTTAAATCCTTGATGGGAAGGCAGGGAGTTTTGACATACCGTGCCTCTTGTTAACTAGAGAAGAAAAAAAATCACCAGGAAATGATGAAGCAACCTAAGCAGCTTCTATCTTATTTTGCCCTCCGTAAACTGAAGCAGAGTACAGGGACTTGTGTCCTTCACACTCTCCTGAGAGAAGGCCGAAAACAGTCATGTATATAACCGTACGCCCAATATGTAAAATGGCCACCAACTCAGAAGGGGCCCCAAGTGGAATTTTCTTACCCACTTCTTTTGGGGAAAAGCAAATAGTAAACAGTGAAAATTTGTTTCTTTGTTTTTTTGAAGGCTAACCTCTACCAGTACTAAATAAGAGAAAGCTGAGTATAACTTTAAAGAAAAGCCTTCTCTGCCTATTTGTGGAAAGGAGGCATGCAAACCCAAAATGTTCTGTGTATTTGCACCAATGAAAAGTTCCCGTCCAAAATCAAAGCCAACACATACTGCCTTTTTTGAAATCCACTTAAGCTGAGCAGCAGTGATGCCATCATTTCTACTTACTGCCTCCTTGGATCTGAGATGTATAACAATTTGAATTTGCTGACAAAATTCTTTCTTTCACTTTACATTTGCACATACCTTATACTACTTATACTTTTAATTTTCTTCTGTAATAAAATCGATTATTTCGCAAACTGCTAAGTAGATAATATTCTAAAAGCAGGCAATATAATCTCTTACCTTTCCATAAAGAAGTGAAATTTGTGCCAGCTTCTTTGTGGATCAGAATCAGAAGGCCAAGAGGGAACCAGGTTCCAATTTCTTTTCAACTAAAAAACTTTTAGACTTGCTTCTGTTCCTCTCTGTTCTGAGCCTTCTGAGCCAACTGCATAGTAAGCTCCTTGTTTCTAATCTCTACAGTGTCTACTCCACTGTCCGCCCTTTGTGGCCTAGTCAGGAAGGCAGGAACATATCCACCAACCTCAAAAGCAAATCAGCAAGAAGAAGCCATAATTAAAGAATGTACCACACTGGCCTCTGCACATCAAATACCAAAAAACAATGGAGTCATGTTCATACAACAGAGAGAACTTTGGTTTCATATGCAAAAGAAACAATATTCTTAGATTTGCAGGGACTTGGAAAATACACTACTCATATAACCACTTGGAAAAATTTCCTCAAAAGACATGCTTCATCCAAACAAGAAATGAACTGAATTAAAGAAACCAGCCTTAAGAGAGCTAAGAAAAAACTCAGGACAGGTTCAAACTCTTCAAGGATGAGGAAAATCCATAGCAGTTTATCTGGTGATTAAAGCAACTTAACATAGTGAGAAAAACAATTTTATAAGTTGGGTTTAAAAATATATATATATATATGAAAATTGTGTAAATCTTAAATGTTCTATCCATACTATTTAAACTATATTACCTTAATAGAATTTTTATAGAAAACATAATGCAATACAACAGATGCCATAATCTTTTATTGTTAGTCAAATGATAAAAATTTAGTCAACTTTAGATGACATCTTGACCAACCTACAGAAATAGTATCTAAGACAAATATTACAGATAGCCTTTCTTTTCAAAATATTTCATCTCTCTGCAGGTACAAATTTCTAATTCCCTTATCTGTGTATTACTGTCTGCACTAAAATACCATCAGGAAAGGGGTTTAAGGAGGCAGCAGAGAAGAACTGAGATTCAGGTAACTGGGATTAACAAAAACCCGAGACTAACAGGTAGGTAGTTTATAAATATGCCCTCCTCTTTCATATCTCTTAAGATGCCTTTTGTTACTTTATCTTTCAAGGCTCCCCTTGATGCTGAAGAGAGAAAAGGCTAGGGCAGAACAATGAAAAGATCAAAGAAGTCTCCAAATCCTCTTAATTAGTCCTTGCAGGTAGTTTTGAAGACTAGTACAGCAGGGGCTATTTGGAGAAGATTCTTCAGTGAAATGCTCTTATGTGGCATAGCTGCTATATGAAACCTCTCTACAAAGCCATAAAAGTATGCTTACCTTACCCTCTGATTCTGGAATTGATACTTTAAGTTAACTGTAATCTATATAAAGATGTATATAAGGATGTTCATAATGGCAATACTTGTCCTGATAAACTTATGATAAACTTCATAAATGTCAACAGTGCTTCCATTTTTATAAAAAATATTTTTAAGGCATCTATGCATTGAAAAGAACTGGAAAAACAGACATGGAAATGTTAGTAATGATTGCCTCAGGGTAGCAGAATCATGGGATAGTTCTTTGTAGTTTTCTAACTTTTCTGCACTGAAATGAAATACTTTTCTGCATTGAAATGAAATACTCTTGTAATGAAAATAGGGGGAAATCCCCTCATAAAAAAAGAAACAAGGCAGCTTCTTTTTTCTTTTTGTTTGTTTTTAAGACATTGGAGCTATTTTCATGCACCCTCTAAAGCCTCTTCTAAATTCTAAAAACATAAGCAAAATTATTTGTTATGGCTAAGAGACTAATTCCATATGGATCGATATAGTATATGTATAACCCTGTATACACATAAAATACATGCTCTCTATATACTTTACACCACATGGGACTCTACAAATACTGTATGAAGAACATTTATGCCTGCTTTTTAAGACATTTTAGGGATTCTGTGATATAGCAAAAAGTGTTCTTTGTTCTCTTGCAGCATGCCATGTTCACCACTATCACAATACTTATCACACTCTATCAAGATTTTAAGTTCGCTGGTCTTTCTCTTCTGACAAACTGTGACTGCAGCATTTATACTAGCACAGTGTCTGGAACACAGCTGAGCCATTAATTATTGGATGCACTGATATGGATAAAGGGAGGGATGACACGCATACACAGATGAATACATGGACAAATAAATAGAAAGATGGGCAACAGAATGGATAGTCACATGGATAGATAGATAGATGGACAGAGAAATGAATGTGTCAATGCAGACTTTCAGTCATGAAAGCCTGGTTCCAGTCCCAACACTAGTAATTATGTAACAGGTCACTCTACCTAAGTTTTTTATTCATCTATAAAATAAAAGTGATTAGACTGACTGACATTAGGTTACTCCTAGCTGCTAAATGAGATAAGACTTAGTCATGATTTTTTCATTTCAGCAGTTAGGCTTGTTGGTGAATATTTTGCTTTTAATAACCCTCTTGGTCATATTTAAGATTAAATTGTTGTCAAATCTTTGACCAGGGATACACCCAATCCTATCTAAAAACACGATTCACATTAAGATGAGGGTTTACATGCTTTTTAGAGTTGCAATACTGTGAAGTTTGAACTCAGAGCCTCAAACACCAACCTCCTGAGGGCAAAAGAGTTTTTTCTTCAATGTATGTATGACAAAACATTCCAATCTACTGGTGACATTACATGTTAAAAAANCCTCCTGAGGGCAAAAGAGTTTTTTCTTCAATGTATGTATGACAAAACATATTCCAATCTACTGGTGACATTACATGTTAAAAAAGAAAAAATTAGCTAAAGGCTTTTTGCAAAGCAGTAAAACAGTCCTTTATGATATAAACGTAGCCACTTACCTTTTACTTTTTTATCAAACTTCTTCTGTTTCATTTTTTCTCGATTTTTCTGTCGAACTTCTTTCGCTTCTTCTAATGCTTCCTGACTACCCCAAACTTCAAGCGCCCTCTTCACAATCTATAACACAGGATCCATATTTAAATTAGTTGTGACTCAGAATTGTAAATTAAGTTATAATTATTAAATCCATAGGCACCAAAGAATTATCTAATTCAAGTGCAATTTTATACTTATTTGAAATTTAAAATATTTAAAATACTGATAAGAAACAACTCTATTAATACCTGTATCTAAACCTATGAGACCCTCAGTAAATGTATGCTGACCTCGATTATAAATAGAAAAGTTGTCCTCTGTAATTGTTTCTCTGTCTCAGCTTTTTCACTTGAATCCACATAAGTACATGTAAATCAGGGGATTTGATGAATTTTGGCAAGCTCAACCCCCCAAAATTTACTTATCAATTAGTCACATCAGATCTAAGTATAAGGTAACCTCCAAAAATCTCCCACCACAGGAAATCAATCACTATTACTCTTCTCCTCTTGAATCAATAATAGTTGCCACCTACTTTACTAACTTCTGATCTTTAGAAGATGCTTTTTTTTTTAAACTTTGGCAGCTGAATAAAGAAGTCTTTATTCTAGTTTTAAAACTTTGGATTATGTATCTTTACTTTTTATAAAATTTATTCATATTTAGGAGAGTAACATATACACTAAGAATTATGCTCAGGATATTGCTTGCAATATGTTAAGGGGACCAAAATATCAATCAATGTAGCAAACTCAAATTTCTTAACATAGTAAAGTGATATACTCTTATTTCAAAAGTTCTAAAACATCACATTTTCCACAATTTAACCCTCTGAAAATGTTGCATCACCAAACAATTCTAAGTCAAAAGTGGTTCAGAATTAGATGCTCAATGTAAGGAAGTTTAGGAATACCTTAATAAAGCTGCTCTACTTGCACTTCCTTTTTATGTACACACAAGCATGATATATAGCAAAAAAGTACAATAAGTGCAATGGCACTATTACAGTAAGTATAAAATAAAAACACCAAATGATAAGGAAGCATTGGCACAGTTTAATGAGCACTTTTCCATTTTTGACATATATAAAATAATAGTGAATCTTCTAATTGATAGTTGTCCTATGTTCAATAAAATTCAGTGTGTTTGGTTTTACATGTGGCTTCTTAATTTTATTTAAAGATACTAGGATTTTCCATTATATTCTAATTCAAATTGCTCTGAAGTAATGCCTCATTTTTTTATATAATGGCACAAAAAGAACATTACAGTATCTGTACCATTCTGGGATAGATAAGGAGGCTGCTTGTGACTCAGGACACCCAGCCGGGGCACTCTAGCAGCCCCAGGCGCTAAGAGTATTAACTATCTTGGCACACCTGTAACACAGTGGCAGCAAGAGGAGTTGAGAAGATCTGTTCTGGAGCATACTAGAGTTATATGGACATCTGATAGGGTTTCAGATGAGTATTTCCCAAGTACAGTTAGATTTTAGGCATTTGCAAAATTCCTCTTTTTTTTAAATTTTCGGGGGGCGGGGGCAAGAATACAGGGTCTGACTCTTAGCCCAAGCTTTTTTAGTTTCCCAACTATACTCGTAACATTACTCAATGGTAATACATTTGCTCCAAAGTGCTGTGCCAAAAAGCAAAATAAGAAAATATTATTGTCATTATGAATATGATTCATATGCAAAGCAACGAAATGCAAAGGACCTTTTTAACACTCTCTGAGCAAAAACTACACTAATTAGGATTAGCTTCCTGTTAAAACTTCACCTGTCCCAGGGTATAAAATGACTGAATGTAACTCATTAGAAACCTGTGATTTTAAGTAGAGTTTCATATCACCCCACTGTGAATGATGAGGGTTCTTCTTCACAATAAATTTAAGAGGTGGCTCTCTTTTTTCTAAGTCACAGTCTTTCAGCAGGTATTCCTGTTTTGCTTCTGTTTTAGTTATAAGTTTGTGTTTATCATCAGCATCTCTGAAAACAAATTAAGTCCATTATGTACGTTAGTTATTTAAAATAAACTAAGTTTTCAAATAGTCCAACAACCTAGGGGTATGCATGCCAAAAGGAACAAAATACTTTTCGTGTAGCTCTCACAGTTAAATGGGCAACATAAAAATTCTAACAGAAAAACACTTTTATCTTTTACATATTCTGAGAAGCTATATTAGCAGCAAATCCATGTTAATGAACATGTTAAGAACTTCTTTTCTACTTAAAGTCCCTCTTTTCCATACAGGATTTGAAATGACTCAAATATAAATGAGAACTAAGACTCATTGAGTAAGAAAATATAAAGCATGTAGTCAGGATGGGCAGGATATAAGGAAAATAAATATGCAAGGTCCACCTGCCCCAACACAGTTAAGTCTCCAGTTGGCTCTGAGCTTTTCAAAGTCAAGGTAAAAATGGAGACATAGTCAATTACACAGTTCTTCTCATTCGTTTGTTCTCTGTGTACACGCTGGGTATTGTCTGAGGCATGAGGAACACAGCAAACAAAAAGCAAAGCCTTGTTTTCATGAATCTCACATTCTAGTAAAGGAGAAGACAGTTATTAAGCAAACACAGTGACAGATTAAAGTGCTGTGAAGGAATATAAAGAGGGTAAAGAAGAGAAATTTCACATAGATTGGGTAATCAGAGAAAGACACTTATGGTAAGGGGATATTTGAGCAGAGCCCTTAAGAAGTCAGAGAACGTTCTGAATAGCCAGAGAAAGAACATTCCTAGCAGAGAGAAGAGCAAATGCAAAGGCTCTAGGACAGGAGTGTGCTTTGCAACTGCAGCTCACAGCAAGAGGGTGGCTGTGGCTAGAAAGCTTAAAGTGAGTGATGGGGAGGAGTGATGAGAGAGAAAGACAGAGATAGGCAAGGACCTAGTAAGCAATGACGAAGACGACAATTTTATTCTAAATGGGTTAGGAGCCATTAAAGAGTTTTGAGTAAAAGGCTATATGGAGAAGAGACTAACAGTGCAAAAGTAGGGGGAAGAGACCAGTTTAAAGATCACTGCTGCGGTGGTTCAGGCAGAAGCTGATGGTGGCTCAGTCTAAGGTAATAGTGGGAGAGAGGGTGAGAATACAGTTTGAACATAGAACCAAATGGATTTGAACTTAAACATGGGATACTAGAGAAATAGCCAATGAAGGAAATTGGCCTTTACTGAAGTAAAGAACACTAAAGCAGAGGTACAGGTCAGGGAGGAGAGGCTTAACACTGGAAATACCTTTAAGAAGGCTAAATAATTTGGAAGTCTTAACTAAAGGAGGGGACAGGTAAACTACATTGTATAGTACTGAAATTATAATCTTGGAAGATGTTGAAACAGAATGGAGGACTGTGTTCCTAATTATGTTTAAATTTTTAAAAGTACATTTTTTACTATACAACTTTCTTTAAATTGATACATTAGTTGCTTTCATTTTCTCATAGAAATAAGATTATGTGTGCTAATTCAGTTTCCAAAAGCTATCTATACTTTAAGGAGAGTGACAATACTGTGGACCTTAACCACTGTGTGCATTAATGACACTGTGTGTCCATGGAAACAGAGTTTATAACAGATATTCCAATGGGTGCCAGGACATTTCCAGTCACCGATGTGATCATGAAACCAGAAACACCTCCATTCTCTCCATCTTCCAAGGATTCTATTCAGCAAAAGTCAATGGTGATAGCTCCCAGGATCTGTAGCAGGGATGCTGAAAAGGCGGGCCTCCAGGCAGGTTGGGAGTTGATCTAGGGCTGTAGGTATACGAAGTGGGAACAGGTACAGACAAGAGGGCAAAGTAAGATTCCAAGACAGGATGTTGGGTGTGAAAGACACCAACAAGGACTTGGCTGAGGTAAACCACAGGGAACAGGAGACCCAAGTGGAAAGGAGGATTATTCCAGGGTGATATAAAAAGAGGGTAAGGGCCAGGGGAAGAAAAAGCATGATAGAAGAATGTGATTTTTCCTCCTCTATTCTCTTCCCTGACTGTTCAGGAAAGTAAAAAATGAATGGGAAGAGATGTTCTGAGAGAACCAGGAGAGTGGCTGGGGAGCTTTTACTCCCCTCCTCTCATTAACAGCCCCAGTCCTCTGACCAAGGTGTCAGCACTCACTGAGACAAGAAAGAAATGGAGACCCTTAGAGAAGGGGTATGAACCTGCTACTGGCAGATAGTTAAAACCACCCAGGCCAGCAAAAAGAGAGAAAACTATCCATGGCAGGACCTGGGGCATTCCTATTTATGTGACCTATAATTCTGAAAAGCACAGGCTTCCTGTATTTCTTTGGCAAGATGGAAACCATAGAAATGTTAGGAAACTCCTACAGTAAAAATCGTAATTATTAAAGAACATTAAATCCAAATGGAGCAAATTGTTTTACCCTAAGCCTATATGTAAACATTAAACTTTAGCAATTGAGAACATTGTTTGAAATAAATTAAGTACCTGCAGTTATCACAAGTTGGCAAATCAAAGTGGTTCATAAGGTAAGAGTCCATAAATTCTCTACCACACTCTTCGCATGTTGCATAATCAAATTCCATAACAGGGCCTAAGGAAAAGATTAATTCTTTAAGTTTCCTTTTTTGTGACTAGAACAATACATTTTCCTCTATTTTATCAGCTTCTCGACATGTACTTTATGCCTCACACAATTTACATAAAAGACAAAACCTTGATTATGTAATCATATTTATCTAAAAAAAATTTTTAAGAGGAAAAAGGAAATAACATCAGGGTGGGAAAACCCTATCAATTCATCAAGTATTTATAAACCCAAACCATGTGTAAGATATTTGTATTAGTTTTATATTGCTAATGTAAAAAATCATTCCAAATTTAGTGGCTAAAATAAAATTTATTATCTTACAGATCTATAGTTTATAAGTCTGGTACAGGTCTCAGTGGGCTAAAGTCAAGGTGTTGGTAGGGCTACCTCCCTTTCTAGAGGTTTTAGGGGACAATCTATTACCTTGCCATTCCCAGCTGCCTGCGTTCCTTGCCTCATAACAGAAAAGAGCAACGAACAGCAAGGCAACAGAAGAGACAATACAGAATTTACTTTCAAATGGGAAACTTTTTCTCTCCCTCCATTTCACCCCCTACCAACAGAGAAAACTGCTTCCTCTGCATCTGTCTTAACCACTAGACTACAAACTTCTTGAGGGTATAGATTGCACTTTGCAATACAGTCTCAACACCCAGCACAAAAACTACTCTAGGTAGAGTAAAGCTAGATATTTTAAGGATTTCAAATACTCAGCTAGCTAAGGATCTTTACCCTAGGTAAAGAAAGTCTCAGCTTCGGAAAACAATAAAGACACAGAAAGAATAGAAAAGGACTATTATCTACCTTCAATATGTAACACTTCTGTTGCTGCAGCTAAAACTGGAATAGGTTTTTTAAGCTGTTATATATTACACCACTGGCTATCAAATTTATGATCGAATAAAACTTTAACTTTCTCAAAGAGTATGAAAGTATCCTCACCCAGAGGATATTATATATGGCTATATAGAAATGACTGAAACTTTAACCTTAAACTATATTCTTTTTTTATGCCAGATCGCCATATCTTATACTTTGTAAACTGCTTTTTTTCTCCAAACATAAAAGAATGTCCTAAATTTTATCTCTTGAGTTTTAGCCTCTCATTTCAACCTATCAAGGTAATTTTATTTTGAGTATTTTTTCTATCGGTCAATATGGCTGTCTCTGCCCATTATAAAACAACCGAATGTCAACCGTAAGTACAGCAAGTCCTCAAATAACATTTCTTTCAACATCATTTCATTGTAACATTAGTGAAATGCCAAAGGGACTTAACTGTTGTTTATATCAATTAGCCTACGATAAAACTGGTTTTGTTTTACAGCGTTTCACTTCAAGACACAGAACCTATCAATGGTGTTAAGTGACGACTTACTGTACACAAACAAGTTATATTAATCACTGCCAAATCGGTTTAATTTTTAATCTACTAGCATAACTGCCAAACGTTATCGCTCTTATAAAGCCAACCTACTCACTGCCTAACTTAATTATTTAACACCAATTTGCAAAGAATTATGGAAATTACTCAAAATGACCAACCTAGACACCTATTTTCTGAAAACACACTTTACCTGGCTGATGAACAACTTTTTCAATTATGTGTTCCTCTTCTTCTTCCTCTTCCAGAATGAAACCTCCATGTGTGTCAATTATCTTTGGGGCTACTTTTACATTAGCCATGCCTATAAAAAGTAAGTAAAAGTGGTCAAGAAGTGAACTAGGTAAGCCCATATGTTCCCTTGTGCATAACAGAAATTTTCCTTAAATTTAATATATATCAAACAAAACAAGGAATATCCACTATTACCACTTCTAGTCAATATTATATTAAAGGCCCCAGCTGGTGCAATATGACAAGAAAACAAAACAGGCATAAAGGTTGGAAAGAAGTAAAACAGTCTTTATTCACTTCAAATACCTAGCTAGCTAAGTAGATGATATGATTATGTACATAGAACAGGCAGAGGAATCTACAATTAAAAGTTAAAAATAGCACGTAGGGCCCTGGCCAGTGAGGCTCAGTTGGTTGGAGTGTCCTTCCCTACTCTGAAAGGTCACGGGTTCCATTCCCAGTTGGGGCACATGCCTACATTGCAGGTTCCACCCCCGGTTGAACAGATATTGGTAAAAAAAAAAACACAACTAAACAATTGCTTTCTTATACCGTATACAAAAATAAACTCAAAATAGACTAACAACTTAAATGTAAGACCCAAGACCATTAAATTCCTAAAAGAAACATAGGCAGTAAACTTTTTTATTGACTCTTAGTAATACTTTTTTGGCTGTCTTCTCAGACGGGGGTAAAAAAGAAAAGAAATGGAACTACATCAAACTAAAAAGTTTTTGCACAATGAAGGACACCATCTACAAAGTGTAAAGACAATCTAATGAATGGGAGAAGATATTTGCCAGTGATACATCCAATGAGGGATTAATATCCAAAAAATATAAGGAACTCATACAACTTAACACCAAAAAAAACCCCAAACAATTCAATTAAAATACGGGCAGAGGACTTGAATAGACATTTCTCCAAAGAGGACATACAGATGGCCAACAGACATGTGAAAAGATGCTCAACATCACTAAATCCTCAGGGAAATGCAATTAAAACCACAATGAGATACCACGTCATGCCTGTCAGAATGGCTGCTATCTATAAATCAACCAACAAGCGAGTGCTGGCGAGGATGCGGAGAGGGAGCCCTCATGCACTGGGGGTGTGATTGTAAATTGGTTCAGCCACGAAGGAAAACAGTACGGAGGTGACTCAAAAAAATAGTAATAGAACTATATGACCCAGCACTTCCACCGCTGGGCTCCGGTGAAGCCGCGGGAAAGGATCCGAAAGGGGCGGCCGCGGGCGGGCGGCTCCCGCGGCCCGGCT